CTTGGGCCTACTTCATGTAAATTCTTGGTGCTAAAACTGTTAGCATTAAATCTAAAGGGCTCGTTTTTGTTTCTCGTTTTGTTTTCAGGCCCCTCTTGGCCTAAATCCATTGCCATTGTCACGCCTCAATATAGAAGTGACTGGCATGGAATATGAGTACAGAACACATATCTCTTAAGTCTTAGTTTTAAAAAAATTCTATTTACTTTATTTTCTCTTTTTTTTTCATAATTATATTTATTTTGAATTTAGGATATCCTTAGTGGTTTTCCCTTAAACAAATGAATTAATATATATCTATATATATTTTGTAAAATTTTGACAAAACCTCCCAAAAATTCTACAATATAAATTTCAAACAGAAAATCTTAACAACCAGGAGCTCTATTCTTTTCAACCAACAGACAATGTTGTAATAATATAAGAACCCTAACTATAGTTTATGTGGAGCACCTAACATTATATTTACAAATATAATACATGAATTTAGGTTAACATTAGAAGAGACTTGACCCACCATTCTTCTCACTTCACTCAATGCTAAAGCTCTTTAATGACTAATAGAAGATACAACACCGGTTAATGTGTCTAAGACCAAAGAAATATTTTTTAGTGAATAACGCCTTAACCATAAAATTTGTAGGATTAAAAATGAATAATTTATAATATTTATGCAAATTAAAGAGAAGACGATACAATATAATAAAATTGGTAAATTTACAATAAATTTTTATGCAACTTCAAAGAATCTTTAAAATACAATCTTCACAAGTCAAATAGATTAAATAAATAAAAATAATATCATCTTGCTAAATAAAAACCACTAAAGTATGAGATCATCAATTAATTAAAAAATTCATACGTTTTGGGATTTATTAAAACAATTTACAAATATGGTTACACAGTCCACGAGGAAAAATAATCAAGTGTGACATAAGTCAGGAAGACAAATGTGGACACACAGCCCATAAAGGTAATGCTAACCAAACGGGGCTTGAAGATATGAAAACAAATGCAAGTATGAGACCCACAAATAATAAATGTGAGAACAAAGCTCACGAAAATCAAACTAGTTAGTCTTTGACCATGACATGCCAAAGGCTAACAGAACTGCCGTTAACAACCAGTGTTCTATATAAAGTTCTAAGTTCTCTTCAAATCCATTTTTGAATATGCGAGAAAATCATCACTTTTAAAATAAGATTTTTTCTTCTTACTATCAAACTCGCATAAACTGTTTAAAACATTAATCCTTTATAAATATGAAAATTCACAACTAACATTTTGTAAACTTCTTTGTCAATTTTTATGATTATCTTTATTGAAAAGAAAGTACTAGAATTTATAAAAACATTTCCGCCAATCTTATAAGTATAAATCATGACAAGTTCAAGAGCTAAATAAATTTAATTAATAATATTAATCAATGCTAGAGTGACATATATTAATAACTGTAAATTGTTAAAAATAATTTGATAAAAAAAATTTTTAAAAATATAAATTGATTGGGACGTTATCTACTTACCTCAAGTATTCCCAAGTACTATAATTTATCTCTTAGGACTTCAATCAACTTTTCCTTCCTCTAAGTATTTGATTCAATATAAAGAAGGACTTAATAGACTTACTCTAATTAGATAAATTATCTTCCAAGATTAACAACACTATAAATAGGTGGGTTCCAAATCGTTATAATTCACTCAACCAAATCTCCATTCTTTCAATTCTTTCAATACTTAACATGTCCACTTCTCTATTCGACACTTATTTGCTATTAAAAGACCAACATCCACCTCTTACACATCTTATCAAACATTGTGTTCATTCATCGTATTCTTTAAATCTCTCTCTCTCTCTTTTTGTTTTTTTTCCTAATAATTTCCAATTGTTAATATTCAAATTTATCATGCTTCACAAATTGAATAACTTTCCAAGAATTAATTTAAGCTTAACCAACACAAAATATAAACTCATCTTCTCCTCTTACATCCACTAAACAATTTATAGTGAAGTTACTTTTGTAAATGAGTTTTCTAATGCTTAATTCAGAACTTGCTGGAATTCCCTTGACTCCCTCTCATTCTCTCTCTCTTACTATCATAAGCAATTAGGGAGGAAAATCAAAACCCATTTTTAGCCAAAGCCCAACAGCACACGAACACAACAAAAAGAGGAAGGGAGATGGATCTTTGACTCACCACAAAGTCAGCAGAGGAACAAAGAAAAGCATTCGAAGCTCCTTAGCTCTAGATCCCTCACAACAGAACAGGAAAGAGAATAAAAAAGGTAAGTAAGCTGAATAGTGTTCTGCAATGCTGAAAATAATCAGAACTAAAAGGAAAAGAGGACCAGATGTGTTTCTTTCAGCCACGTCGATAGAGATAAAAAAGGAGGAGAAGTCAAATGCGAAACAGAGAAAGAGAGAAGAACCTTCACAACTCTAACTTGTAGCAGCAATGATCAAACTACTGGAAATATCTCATCCACTAGCACACACTCAGGTGGCAGCGATGCATTTCATAGGACAAAGAAATTTATGGTGCACCGTCACAGTAACACATAAACAAAGGAGGGAGAGGATGCTAGAATAGTACTCATATGGCAGCGCACAAATAGCAGAAGAAGAGAAAAATTTGACACACCTTTAGTGGGTGAAGATGGGAAAGGCGAAGGAAGAGGAAGGTAATCTTAAGAGCCTTGGAAAATTTGAAAAAAAAATGTAGGGGGAAGAAGAGAAAAGAAATGGTGGTGTAAGTTTCTGGTCACTTCTTTCGTCTCTTAACCTTTCTTTCTTTCTTTTTTTTTTTTTTTGGTTTTCAAATGGGCAAAAATGGTAATTTGTAGCTAAAGCAAATAAAAATTTTCTATTTGATCCTCAAAGGTTCAAACTCAAAACCACTTAAATAAGTATCTGCATAATCACCACTATACTAGCTCTTTCTCTTGCTATATATGTCCCCAAATAAATAAAAATACTATTAAAATGTATTATTACATATTTTAAAATTTCTTATAAATTTATAGGTTATTACAGCCACTACAACATCCTTCGTCCAATAATCTTATTCTTTATCTTTTCATTTGACTCATTTCTCTCCACTTTTCTTTCATTACTCAGTTTCTATGCTTTTATATTGAACTCATCAACATGACCCTTACTCTTTTGATTGATGTTCTGCTACCCTTCTTTTTGCCTCCATCTGTCGCTACTCCCTTTTTCATGAAAGGAGGAATATGTATACTAGGCTCATTCTTCCCCAACCTCTAAAAGCACTCCAAACCTAGATGTAGAAGCAAGTTTTGAGTGGACAGAGTATTTTTTTTACTTTGGTGATTTGGGGTCTATGTGTAGCCTCCATTTTTTTCCTGACTGAACCACCTATTCTTGAAAGGTTTCTTTTCAAGCATCCAAATTTCGTACTCCTCTTCTAGAGTGATATGACTAGGATTCATAGGGCCAAAATCCATCATCGAGTTCTTTGTTGCTGTCTTCTTCGGTATGTTTCCTCTTGTCTCATTCTCACCGATATTGGTTTCCTTCTTAAGCAAGGGACACTACTCTTTTTTATGTCCATGTTGCCCTTAGTTGAAGCAAATTACCTCTAACCCTTCATACATGATTGTGAAGACTTGGCGATGTATAACAAATCTCAAAGATAGTCTTTTGTTTAGATCTATCTCCACACTAACCCTTGCAAGCCTCCCTCATTTGATTTTTTCTGACTTATCATTCACTCTTACTAAAGTGTTCTTATCCACTTTGAGCACCTTACCAATCTTGTTATCCACTTTTCAAAGCATTTCCTCTATATAACAGTGCATAGGTAGAATTAGAATCCTAATCCAAATAGTAAGCTTGTGAACTTTGTTGCTATAAGGATTAAAATTGGGGCTCTATCTTTGCACTGCTAAGTAATGTCCTTGTATGACCCAAGGTCCCTCGTTTAATAGCTTGAGACGCTGTTGTTTATTATCAAACCTTATGACAAAATAGTTGTTAGCCATATCAACTACTTCAAAGTCTGTGGTTTTTAATAAGAACTCTAGTCTCTTCCTTAACTCATCCAATCTTAGTTCTTTTCCTATAAGAGTTAGGATAAGTGCATCCTTCTAGGATAGACATAGGTTCTTTCATTGTTTATCGGGCATATCTATACTAGGAATTTGGTCAAAAAGCTTCTTTTGTTCCTCCGATAGTAGGGGAAAAATTTCTGCTTCCTCTTCAACCATTCCTTAAATATAGTTTCATAGTCTTTCTTTATATCCATGCTCTCCTTGCCCATTAAAAGATCTCTATAAGATATTTGAGACCAAGGTTCAGGTTTCCCACCTTCAGTTTCCTAGTTTAGTGGTGTCTTCCCCGTAATGCTATATGCCATTTCAACATCTTGATCCTTTGACTTTAGCTCCTTAGCAATTTGATCATGTAAATTATTAATGCTATGAGCAATAGCATCTTCTTCATCTTTAGCCAAACCCACTTCTTGCTGGTCACCTAATTTGTGGGGATCCCCCCACCAGTACTAGAGTTACCTATGGCTCTCTCACAAGGAGTTATGTGCTCACTCATCTTTAATAATTAACATCTATAATAAAAAAAAAAAACACACACACACGCACACACACATAATTTAAAGATGGGATGAAATGTCCTGAAAAGTATCTCGAGTCCTTTTCCTACATCTTTATGTCTTGTTCCATAAATGTCTCATTTTGATTATATTTTTTTTAAACTTAGACAAACCTAATATGATCAGGATAAGTGTAGGCCGACTGGTATAATTATCACCCTAAACACTCCTATTTCTAAAGTTCTCCCAGTAAACAATTGCAAGGCTATTTTGGAACCTAATCGGCCCCATGCTGCGACTATATCTGGGGATGCATAACAAATCGTTCAAGCTTGTCAATAGTGGCAGTTTATAGAAATATGTTGATGACATTGATTATATATGTGTGTATATATATATATATTTTTTTTTTTTTTTGCTAAAGTATTGATTATATATATTGACATATTGATTGATGTGGATATGATTGTGACTCGTTGGTAACTCTTAATTGATTTTCTTTGGACTTACCTTTTTGTTTTGCTTTGTTTTGGTTTTTTTTTTGTTTTTTGCCACATTGGACTTGACTTTGAGAAAAGAAGGATCTAAATATAGAGTAGTTCAGGTTGATAAAATCCTATTCTTTGAAAAAGAAAAAATTGCGCAGAACAACTCTCACCTCGGAATCATTCTTACGTAAGATACTGGTGCTTATCTAATTCGGAAACGTTGCATGAGAGATCTGGCCACGTGTCTGGCAAAAGGTTGTAATCTGTAATGGTGAATTCCAGGAAATATTGATTTATCGAGTGGATCAAATCGGTTAACACGAAGGACAAGCACGCAATTTAAGAAATTTAGTAATAATTGGGTTTTTGGATTTATGTTGGTGTTAGAGAGTGGACGAGGATTTCATTATTGGCGTGTTGGAGCAGATGAAGGGCAAGGGAGTGCTGGTTTCAAACCCCAATAGTGGCGAAGACAGTGAAGAGAAGCAAGAACCGTCGTTTGGCGTCAGATTCTCTTCTCGGAACAATTCCTCGAAATACGATTTCGTCAAGGTCTCGATTCCCGTTGAAGATCGTTCTTAGTGTCATTTGGAAAGTAGCGAGAATGAAAATAGACTCTTTTCTATTTCAATGAGGATTTATCTCATGCCCTTGGAGCATGATGAACTAAGAACAGAATGATTCTGTTTATCATGCCTTATTTTGCGGCATTTTATCTGAAACTTTTGGCGGTTGTTGTGTTTCTAGGTAAAAGTGTGGTTGGGTGACAATGCGGATCACTACTATGTTCTGTCCAGATTTTTGCTCAGTAGAATGCTAACCGTGACCAAGGTGTTGTAATGCAGCCGTTTAAATTTTATGTCATATTATTTTTCCCGATGCACGTTCTTTTTTTATTTTTTTGTTGTGGCCGAAATTCCCAATGCATGCTTGATCATGGAAAATATGTTAGTACATTAGACCAAATAACTAATGTTGTTGATGTAAAAATATTAGTTGCATGGAGTTTACTTGAGGCCAGAATCAATTTGAAAGTGAAAAGGATGTTGTGTTATAATGCATGGTAAATGGGTAATCCTGTTGATATCCTGCCATCCTGGAATCATTGCAAGTCTTAATGAGTTCATGCTCCATGTGATTAGGAGATAAAAATAATTTATTTTGTTTGAACATTATCTTCTATTTACTAGAAAACTCCCCTGAATGCTGGGAGAATGATCCAAGATCCTTAATCAATAGTGGATAAAACAGTATTTTGAGAGTAGTTATCGTTTTCTTTCTCCATTGTATCATGGTGCGATGACAATTTAGTTGTCACAATAGCAAAGCTTATGCTCTTGGTTCTGGCAGGTGATGGTACTGCTTGATTTCTGAGGATTTGGGTTGGGAAATTCTTGAGGATGTCAAGTTACCCTTCTTCTAACTTGTCTTTCCTCTTCTTTCTGTAGATTCTTTGTGTCTATGATACAACTGGTGGTAATGAGAGACTAGAGACTTAGGGACAGGCAAGAGCCTTTTTTTCTTTCTTTTTTTGTGAGTTTGAGAAGTGAGTCAAAAACCTTTAAAGTATCTAGTTGCTTCCTACTCTCATACATATATACAAGTTGGAAATTATTTTAGAAAGTGAAAATGAGTACAAAGGAAAAGAGCTGTCAGCCTTGCACCAGTGCTACTCATGGAGCCCATAGAATATTATTTATTTGAAGTATTACAACTTTTCACTTTCTTGAGTTACTTTAAGATGGGGGACATTTTTTTGGGAGGATATCTGGGTGGGGAGTGCATCTTTTATAGAGGTTTTCCATGAATCTGGCCCTCTTCTGTCTATCTCCATGGCGTAATTGAAACATCAATAATAATAATTCTTGCATTCTACAAGTTCATTTGTGAATGGGATTTCTCAGTTTTTAAGAAATATTGGTATAGGATTATTCAGGACACTAATCTCTGATTCCTTCAGAATTTATTCAATTTCATGCAATCCAGGCAGTAGAATATGGACACCCAAAAATTTTGGTGTTTATGTAAATTATTTGTAGAATTTAAGACTCGTTATTCTATAATATCAACAATAAGCCTTGTCTCATTAGGTGGGGTCTACATGGCATATCTATTTGAGGTTCGACAGAATTTTACGTGGGCCGTCAAGAGCCTAACACAACCCTCCTTATTTATTTGGGCTTGGGACCAGTTATAAAACATAGGCAGAATTAGACTTACTATTCTAAGTTGAATAAATTTTTAGTAGAGGAGTTCATTTGATATTTAAAGCTCTCTCCAAGGTTAGGTGGTTTGTCTGGACTATAGAGTTGATACTAAAACATTTCTTTCTACTGACATTTTGTACCATGCAGATGAATAATTTGGAATCAGCTGCTTACATCTTGTTACATTGTAGAATAGCTGTCCTAAGGTTACACGTGTTTTTGGTGTTTTTATTGCACAATTAGTGCACCAGCCCTGAACATTAGAGGGGTTTTGTTTATAAGGTTTATAGGTTTTTCTGTTTTGGAAGGCAAAAGTGGCCAAAGCCCTGTGGCAATGTTCTGTTTTTACTGTGTTGTGGTGTATTTGGTTGGAAAGAAACATCTGCAATTTTAAATGTTTATCTTTATTTCTTGAGATTCTTTGGAAAGGATAGTCTTTATGATTTTGATGTGGAGGTACTCTGAGGGGTTATTGGTTGATTTTTTTCCCCCTCTGGGAGATGCTATTTATAAGTTTATACCCAACTTGAGGGCCTTATTTTCTCACGTTCACATCATATAATTGATTTGCTCAAAATAACTTTCTATCGCACTAAATAAATCAAGTTAACATGCCTAATAAGTCATATATCTCTTGTATAATTCTTTTTAAATCATTTATTTATGTTTGATTTTGTTTTCAAGATATGAGTTTGAGTAGGTGACACTGCTAGTAATGTGTATCAACACAAGATCATTGTGATTTCAGATCCCAAACCATGTGGCTGTGAAAATTGCTCTCGAACTCAAGAAGGTGCTCATAGACAACAGCCTTCTTGATGTGTATGCCACTCTCCTCCTATGTTTTAGCTTAGTGATTTTTTCCCTTTTCTTTTCTCCTTCTGAATTCTGGTCAACTTGAGTATTTATTCTTTTTACATTGTGATTCTACAATGCAGCTCTCAGTCTGATTTGGAAGCTAATCTTTTTAAGGTATGCTGGAAAGTTTTGATCTGTTTAACTAATGACTTAAACTACTTTCTTGGCTGTCTAGATGTTATCTTTTATGGTTTTAGTTTGCTTTTGGAGTGACATGTGAAATATTGAGCAAAAGTGATTTTTCTCTTTTGGCTTTTTGTAGAGTCCTAACAATTTTTTTTTTATAATTTTTTTGAGCATTTCTAAACTTGTAGGTACGGGTAACTTAAAGCTGCATATTAAGATGCCGCTTTGCATGAGGATTGATTTGATTGTCTCTTGGAGCTTGCTACGATTGTTTTACTTTATTGTGTTTATTGCTTAAATTCTGAAATATATATTCCAGCTGCTTGATTCTGACCAAACTGGATATGCAAATAGATTTGAGAGCTTTGTTGTTTTGAGCCTTACTATGTTCCTGTTTAGCTGGAGTTATCCTCCTCCCTCCTGTGCATTTCCTATTCTTTTTCCTCTAAAATTCCTTTTCTTCCTTTCAAAGTTTTCTAAATGAATTTGCTGGGGCTTCCCATATCACTGCAAATTTTGTATCTTCATAGGAGGAAGTTGAAACTTCTGTTTTCGTATCACTGCAAATTTTTAATGAACTACAATGGGTGGATGTCTGTTGTTTCATAAATGATAATATACATTTTTGAATCTGTTGATGTTATTGTGAATTTGTGATGAGCTACCATGACTGGATGCCTGTTGTTTCCCAAATGCTGATATAATCTCATCAAACTTTCTAAATAGGACTGTTTATGTGCAGCTTATGGAGCGGAGAGGGTATGGAGAGGAGTACATAAATCGTTATAAGATGATGACAAGGTTGGTATGCCAGATATTTTGTTCTGAATGACCTTGTTTTCTTTCTATTCTGTCAGTCCAAATAATAATTTTACTAGCCAAAATTTTTATCTTCATGAAAAAAAATGTACCTCTCGTTTTCATAGGTTCACACTAGTGTTTGATGTTTATATTTAGCTGAGTGATGAAGGGTTTTCATGGCTAAGAAAAAATGCAAAGAAGAAAGGAAACTAATGAATCATGATATCTTTGTAGTAATTATAATAATCATTCTTCTGATTTTGCTGCCAACATCTGTCATCCAGGTTTCACCATCAAAGGGTTCCATTAGTAATACTTGTTTGTGGAACTGCTTGTGTTGGGAAGTCTACTATTGCCACCCAGCTTGCACAGAGACTAAATTTGCCAAATGTCTTACAGGTAGGCTTTGTATATCTGTAACCTAACTGCATCTATGGTAATATTTTTAAATGAGCTTTTTTAATTTGGTGCCAAATTAAAGCCATATATATTATTTTTGAACTTCTGTGTGACTATTTTATTACAATGTGATGGCTCAGTTTCCATAACTCTCCCATAAAATGTTATTTAATGTCCCTTCTCTGATGAAAATTGTTGGAAATTACTGTTGATATTAAGTCATGTTATCTGTTTTGATTTTAAGAAAGTTTGAGTTCAGTATTAAGCTCAATTATTCTAATTTAATAAGAATAGAGTTATCATATTTTGATTAGGATAAAGTTACATTATGACATTTTTCTTGTTGACTGTTTGCAGACAGATATGGTGTATGAGTTGTTGCGCACATCTACTGAGTATGCCCTCAATTTCTCTTTCTCACTTTTGTGTTGACTATAGTTTTTGTTTTAATTCAAAACAGATGTAATAATTCATTCATGAAGGGACATCACATATAGACCATGTTAAGCCTGGCACTTGACCCTATTTATTTATTTGTGAAATCAAGCTCACCAATTGTTGTTCTAGCTGAAAATATGTGGTTAACTTGGCAGTGGCAAGTGGATTTTTATTATAAAGGCTAGACTTAAAGGGATTTAGATGCTTGCTAATGCAATATTATGCTTAAATTAATATGGTTTGGTTAATTTTCATGTTCATATTGATGCATAAAAATGCAAAATAACATTACGTCATAACAATTTTATTAATAAAATGTTAATAATTATTGGCATAAATTGAAGGCAATGTACCTTTTCTAATGGAGATCTTTAAAATGCAATACTTGACTAGTTATATTTATGTCTTTGCCATGGTATGCTTATTTCATCTTTCATTTGCCCTTTAGTAAGCAGTAATAATGTAGTTGTCTTATCCATTCCCTTAAGATGATTAAGTTACTCCTCAATCCCCATCATTTTTATATTCCTTGTATATAAAAGTTAACTGCACTTTCCATGAATGGTCTACAATTGTGTGAGTCACCTATGCACAAACTTAGGTTCACAATAGTTACTGCATACTGCTACACAATGTGTTATGTTAATCTGGAATGCAGTGGATAACATTTTAAACTAGCAATTTCATTTTATGTGTTGACTTTCATGTTTTTATTGCTGGAGTGATTAATCATTATCAGTGTGTATTTTTTTTCTCAATATTAATACATTTTGTCTTGTCTTTATATAGTGCACCATTGGCATCTACTCCTGTATGGTACCGAGACTTCAGCTCATCAGAGGAGTTAATAACTGAATTTTGTAGAGAATGCAGAGTTGTACGTAAAGGTATAATTTGTTCTTTTTTGCTTTGGATTCTATTAGTTTAAAAGATTTGTTCGTTATTAGGGTTTGAAAACAAATTTGCTTATTATTTGAACAAATTTATTGTTTTACAGAGAATGTTATGGATTTTCTCTCCTTCAAAGGAACTTTTTTTTCCCCTAGCTAATTGTGATTTTTTTTTTCCAGGTTTGGCTGGTGATTTGAAAAAGCCATGAAAGATGGAAAACCAATAATTATTGAGGTATGCAGGAACTACCGTTTAGAGAATTTTGCTTATTTGTTTCTTAAAATCCCACCCATCAGATGTTAGATTTTAATTTCTAGCTGATCACACTCATACAACCAAACTTTGGAAAAGCATTAGAATATTCTTGTTTCTTTGAATTTGAATTCTAGAAGGTGGTTGTAGCTGGTTTGGCTGTATCATTATCTATGGATTATCTATGAGTATTTTTTGTATTTCTTTTTGTAAATTTATGTATAAATTTGTTTTGCTCACCAACTTTAACAAAAGATGATATTTAATGGCTGAAATGAACGGAAAATGGAAAATAGAAATGGTATAATTCTGTACGGATTAAAATACAATTTTGGGAGCAAAAGTTGGTGGGTTTCGTTTCTCAGACAACTCTCAGATTTTTATGTGTGACTGGTGTTTGAAAAATGATATGTGCTACACTAATTTGTTATTAGGCCTTGACAAGCCCTGACATGCTTAATATGCAGTTAATTTATTTCTTTTGTAGATGGTTCACTTTCTCTGTCTTATTTTTCTTTAAATAATTCTTCCAGGGAATACATCTGGATCCTAGCATTTATTTAGTGGACGACGAACAGAAATCACCCTCTAACGTACCTAAGGAGATAAATCCATTATCTTTTGCACCAGATGATAATGCTACGGCAAAATCAAAGGATAATCATGATGTTGTTTGTTGTGGTGATGAGAATAACGGTGGCTCAAGGTCTCCAAGCACCAAGGAGGAAATATCTATTGACCAAGTTGAGTCACTATCGAATTCTACACAATCCATGGATCTAGCTAGAAATATCTCTGCAGATAAAGGTTTGTTTGTTTTTTCTGTCTTACTTTTATGCTTTTAGCAGGACAGTTGTATGCAAACATGTAGTGGAAGTCATAATGTATAAATGAATAGGCACACGTGTTTCGATTTATGCTTGAGATTTTGATGGTTGAATGCAGGTGTTTCTCTTAGAGAACTGGACACTGACAGAACTAATGTTATGAAGGAGAAGTTGGGTTCCAAACCAGTAGTTGTGCCCATTGTTCTGAAAATGGCTGAATTTGATCACAAGGTTTTTTTCATTTTGTCCTTTGCTTTTGTGATTGTAACAGTTACACTTATTTGCATAAAGAGTTTCTATTTTCACTTATAGTTTGTCTAACATCCAAAACTTAGCTAGTTATCCAAGTTTAGTGGCTGGGTGCTCTTTGTCTTTTTCTAGGTTATTCCATTACTGAATATGGACTTATGATGCCATAAATGAGAGTTCAAGTAATTTTCAGGATTGTTGCATGCATTATATTCTACTATAGTATTGATATATACAATAGACAAATATTATTGTGATCCTCACTGTTGTTTATCCAACAAGTAGTCTTATCCACTCTAAGTGAGATTGCTTTTGTGGATTGTATAATGCTATTGTGCTTCATTATCAGCCAATCTTTGGATATATCATTCACCAAGAGATCCCATTTGGTATCTTCCTTGAGTATCCTTCTTAACCTCCCTCCACATTGATTTACAGGGACAAAGACTATATACTCAAATTTCCACAGTAATGTCTCTATTGACTTTCTTTGCTCTCCAAGCCACTTTAAATGATTTTCTACCATTTTCTTCTCATTACGATGCCTTGCTGAAATTGTCTTTTCTTGTATGACCTTGCATTTATCTCAACATCTCTTTCTCTTCTACCCCAATTTTTTTTTTTTTTTGGGATCTTGTTGACCCTTTAACATCCAACATTCACTACCATATAACATTAGTATTTTAATGGTTGATATATGTTTCCTTCTAGTTGGTACTTTGCATCACAAATGAAATGATTCATGCTGCCTTCATTTGAACCACTCAGCTTCTAAACTATAGACAAAGTCTTCATCAATTTCACCATCTTGTAATATTGTTCCCTAATAGCTAAATTTTGACACTTGTGGTATGATCTTATCTCTAATTGTTACCATTGCTAATTTTATTTTTCATTGCTAGGGATGTTCATGGTTGTTATTATGATGGAAGATTTTATTTTGAAACAAATTGGAATATGATAGGAGACTTCCTAAAATATATCAAGACTAGGGAGTTGAAGGGAGAAGCATACTGTATTGGTTTGTGAATTATCATTTAGTCTTCATTTTTTATGATCCCTATTGGTACCAAAAGTCTTTGTTCATACTGTGTCTCTCTTGTTTTGTGCAATTCATTCTTTGATTCAAAGTTTAATCTTCCTGTTTTGTTTGATTGTGTTTTTTTATGTTTAGAATAAGATTTGGGTATATGTTCTGTTTTAATTAGGATAAAGTTATCTGATTTTGTATAGTTATGTGTTGTACTTGGTGGAGTCCAGTCTTGTTCTTCTTTTATTGTCTATAAATGTAACATTACTTCTGTTTAATAATATAAGTTTTGAGGCAAATTAAACCCTGAATTTCTACATGTACCTCAACCTTTATACCCCAAGTCTGTTTTGGCCTACTAATTGCTGAGGCGTCTGTGGGATTTAGAAATAAAGTAAATTAATTTAGGTGGACTCCAGTACGTAAGTCTTGGTGTTGGGTTCCATCATTTCTAGCCAACTTCTAAATGTTATAATCTAATGAAGCTTGCGATTTGCAGGCATTGCTTGAGGAGTGGATCTCCAGCCGTTCATTTAATGATAAATGCCCAGGCCAGGTAACATTACCCTCTCATAGGGTGCATATTCAAAGGATCATTAATCAACATTTTCATTGATGACATTTTATGATTTCTTTTAAAAAAATTAAAAATGAATAAATTATGGAGGACAAACATTCCAAACTTTGAGGCTTTGATTACATCTTTTAGGATATTGGAGGAAAACAGGAATATTGGTTCAAAAGAACATGAATTCCGTGGCATTAGGGTGTGCCTGAGCTGAGGCAGGGCCAGGATTATTAAGGACTACCTTGCTGCTTAGCATGATTTCGGTTGCTTATGGTTGTCACGTTTAAGTTTGTAGAGGATTTTGTTTACATTTAGAAAGTAGTTGATAGGGACTTATGTGTGGCCCATTTAGTTCCCTTTCAAGGAGTTCTTTTACTCCATCATATTGGTTCTCACAATAATTGATAAAGGAAACAGAGGAAGTTGGAAAACAGGGAGCAGAGTTCTCAATGTTAGCTGAAGCATCATAGGTTAGTCAAAGGCTAAATTCATTAATCAAATGCTTAAAGTGTCAATTTGCTGTATATAGTAGTTATTTGTGTCTGTTTGAATCAGTTAATCGTGCAGCCATACATGGGTTTACGGTTTTTTTTTTTTTTTTTTTTTTTAAGTTTATGAGTTTACTATATTTGAAGGTAATTCTAACCACTTGACTGTTGAATTTAACATCTTAGTCAAAGATCATGTTATAAATATTAGATGCCCTTAAAGAGGGACTTAATGGTAGTATATTTTGGAATGGGAGGCCTGTCTACGTTTTCAATATTTCGTGTCACTTTTGAGATCATGCATAAGAAATAGCTGATAATGGGTTTCTGAATCTATCTCAAGTGAATTTTCTTCCATTTGTTTTCTAATTTACTTACAAGATGTGTCAGTCTAATCAAATTAGATGAGACATATTATCAGGGAAGTGGTTTTGGTTATGCTTTTCTATATGTGTAGTACATGCATAATTCTATTTTAAATTAATTGTTTTAACAGATATCAAATACTGTGAATTTCTCATATGATAAATTAGTTTCAAATAGAATATCAGGTTTGAATATCCTTGTCAGTTATTTTTTGAAATAAATTTTGCAACTTGCAGGATAAAAATAAGCTTATACAGAACTTGAAAACCATACAAGATTATCTCTGCTCATTCACATCACAGGTATGTCCGACAATTTGCTTTCCAACTAGCTTACAGTTGTTTTTGTTGGTGATACATGTTCTGTTTTAACATCTTAATTACTCCCTTAAAGTCTTGAAAGCTTCTTGTTACAGCTATTTTATTCTGTTCTTATCTTATCAGTTAGTTCTGTTTCAATAGCACATAACTTTTAGTGTTGAACAATATTTTTATATAGTTCATTTTGGTATTAGGACACTACCACCATGAATGTCTCTGATTCATTTACTCACTGAGTCACTATGCTTCAAGTAATACAACAATGACTATTTCCTATCATCTCTCTCTTTCTTTGTTCTTTTTGTTCCATGGTATCAGAGCTGGAAGAGTACCAAGGACCCATCTGGTCGTTAAAAATAGATGGAATGGAAAATAATAGAAAGGAAAAGAAAGGAATGGAACGGAGCAATGGGTGAGATCTATAAAGATGTTTGGTTGGCAATGACATGGAACAGGTTTTGATGAGATAATTCATGTTTGTTTCGCCAAAAGAATAAGAGAAATAAAGGAATAAAGCAGCTGAAACTAAAGAAAATGAACAAGTTAGCCTCAGTTACAGTTTTCTTCCATTATTAACCCACATCCTCGTTTTGATTGACTTCCCATATCCTAAATACAGCCATTATCCTACAGATAGACAGTTGGCACTATAGTCACACCCAACTCACTACGCATTGATTCCAACACTCGCCATAAGTTGGATCTTATAGATCATATGGCCAAATTTGTTACAAATGTAAGTAATACACAGTCTACTCAAGGGCATAATGAAAATATTAGCTAATTGATCATTGCAATTAACATAGCTAGTAATAAAAGTCCTTGAAAGCATCTTTCATCTTATGAAGGGATTGGGTACTTCACTGATGGTGGCTTAGTCAAGTTCTGTACTTTAATAATTAAAGTAAAAGGAAAAAGTTTATTCCATGACAAATGTAGGTGTTTATGTTGTATACGTTTTTAAATAGTCTCGCATGACAACTGAGTTTCTCCTTGCGTGCATTTACTCTATTTTTGTCCTGTTTCACAAGACTTTCCATGTTGTGGGTTGCCCTACTAGTTTTACAACATTTACTCATGAAAAGTTTTCAAACATTAACTAAATAATGCTAAGAAATTGATATGAAACTTATCTCCTGATAGGTTTAGCACCCAAAGATCCTGCTTCTTGTAATATGGAAATTATAAATCTCTATCTTTTCATGTTATAGGGCTTGACTGTGGTCAATGTATCAGCAACAACATTCCCTCAAACACTGGACTGGTTGCACAGCTATCTTCTTCAGGTATGTTTGTCTGACTTTGTATTACTTTGTGCTGTTTTTTATTTATTTTTTTTAAGTCTTTTGAAGAAGAAGACAGGAAAAAGGATTTTTTTTTTTTTTTTGGGGGTTGGGGGAGGCAGGTGGCCAGGAGAAGCAAAGTGGAATTGAGATATGTTTTTTTTTTGGCCAACAAATTTAGATGTTGTGTTTAATGTGGTTTAGTGTATTTAGCTGTAATGAAATGGAGAATGGTATAAGCAGAAGATCATTCCATAAGATTTAATTTTATTCTGTATTGTTGGGAAATCTTAAAATAGAATGGTCACCTTTCTTGTTTTTTGATTTGCCATTGAAGTAATCTGTTCTTTTCTTTGTTCTGGGTTTAATATTAAACGTAACCCATATCACTTTTGAACTTCTCCTGATAATTTTTCCTTTCCATTTTTTGCTAGTTGGGAGGGACAAAAAGGGAGTGTATGAAAAAATATTTGTAGCAAAAAAAAAAAAATATATATATATATATATAATCAGAGTTAGAGAGGTTAAACACACGGTAAGAGTTAAACAACAATGAAAAAAAAAAAAAATCCTCCTTGAGAATGCTGAGGAAAAGGACAAGAACTGCAGTGAATAAGGCCTCCATCCAGTTACCCTTGTATCTTAAATAGGATATGTCTCTTAATAGTTAATATAAAATATAGGCCAATTAGTTTATATATTGATGAAAATTTTTTCTAGCTTTGTCAACAAGTTTCTTTCTCTCTGATTGAATTAGATGTCACCATAACAGGAGGAACCATTTCACACAAATCCCAGAACCATTCCTTGTAGACAGATCCTAGGTGCTGTCCCTTTTGTCAAGGAGTTTGTGAAGATGAGGAAACCAGTGTGTAGTTTTTAAGATGGATTTGATGAAAGCTTGTGGTTGAGTGAGCTGGGGTTTCCAAGGCAGGGTTTTCTATAGAAAGGGTTTTGGTGCCTGATAGTGATAGAGAAAGTGGACTCTCTTTTTTGGGTTATAGTTGATGTGTAATAGATAATTGAGAAAAATTATTTATCATCTAGTCAGTTGAGTAAGCTGATGTAGGATCTTTAGTAAATTGGTGGCTAAATGGCGTCTTCAATTTGTTGCTTCTAAATTTCTACCACAAATTATTCAGTGGGAGAGGGAGAATTACTAGTCACCTTCTAAGAATAATGATGCAATCTCAAAAATCAGTATTTTGATAACATTTTTGGTTCCAAATGAGTATTCCTTCATACTGATTTGTGGGACTAATCTCAGAATAATTGACGTTACATCCTCCGCTAGTGTTTCTTCCCAGGCTTGAACCCTTTTACATTGTAGAGCTCTTCAACCACTGAGCTCAAGCTTGCTGACGACTTGAGCCACTCTCTGCGAGTATCTGGGGTAACATCTGACTAAGTAAAATATTAACGGAACACATCAGTGAAGCAACCTGTTATGTAACATTTTGTTTACCCCGGTAGACAATCACATTTTATTTAACTCTTGAGAATATTATTAATTTTACAGTTTTCTATAAAGTAATTGCGACATGGTATTGTGTTAATTTTCAAAATACTTCAAAGTCAGAATAAATCAAAAGGATATGTATTTTAGTGGCAAATCATGCATTTCTTGTTCAATTTGGTTTTCCTTTAGAATTATTATAAGCTGGTAGTGACTGGAAGCTGTGACTTTAATTTGATTTCGTTCAGTGCATTGAGCAAGGCATCACATCAGTGTCACGTGAGAAAGGTCCACACGTAGCTGCAACATAGTTCAAGCAGTGAGTCTTAGAGGTATGAATATACTGCCGTTAATTTTTACAATTTTTACTTCTGCTCTGGACCAAGCTCCTTTAATGCACTGATTGCAAATACGAGACAGTGATGTGTACTCCAGAAATCGCTGATGAAATATTCTTAAGTAGATAATCATGTCTATTAAGATAACTAGACTAAACCAATGAGCAGCCACGTAAACATGTCAGGTGGTTGGGTTCACTAAAAATGAGAAGTTACTTGGCATGTCCACACAGCAATTACTAATTGATTCAATCTACCTATCTATGTAAACTTTTTCTACTTAAAGAATTTACATGGTTCATAGTTATAGGTTTTCAGGGATTTTCGTCCTGTGCCAAATGATTCAGTCAAACTGTTGCCTGATTTTTTTTTTTTTTTCTGGTGGAATAAAGTGAAGCCTCGAGTTGAACTGTATCAAAAGATCAAACTTATTGTGGTCCTTTTGCACTGTGCAAGTATACTACGTGCATGCTATGGATTTCCCATTTATTGCTTTTGACTCTCTTTTGACCAAAACTAAGGAACAAGAAAAAACAAATGCAGCCATTCAACTTCAGATCATCTGTAAATACCCTTATGATCAGCAATAACATTAAAAATTATATCCCTGATGTTCATTATTTGGCGCATTTCACTCCTATGCTAGGCTTATCTTTTTAACATTTTAACCACTTTAATTTACTTTTTGAACCAATGGACACATGCCATGTGGCAAGAGACAGGGTGTGAAGTGGTATGCCTGTTGACAGAAAATGAACAAAAGGTTTTAAATGCTTAAAGGGGGAAATTTTAAGGGGATAATTTTCTTTCAAAAGTGAAGGTTGATTATTTGCATTTTTTCCGTGTTAACTGTTGAGATTGTTTCCCTCTAGTGAAGCAGTATTTTTGCCTATGCTTCATTGATGCTTTGTGGATAAGTAAATGGATGTTGCAGAATAAGCTAATAAAAATCATGTCTGAAACGAGTCTTTTTCCAGGTGCTATCTACAAAACTAGTGATCGCTAGCCTCTTGTGATTATGAGATAGTCCAGTGACAGATCATTGCAAGGGAACAGAAAGCAGATCTTGTTCAGGACAAAGTAATTATTGGATCAATTTTTCTGTTGTTGTCAAATAATGCAGATTTTCTCAGTTTTCTTGTCCACAAAATCTTTTGCCACCAAAAATGATTGTATAATCATGGATCTTGAAGTGAGGTGTAGTATGCTTTTATTACAATCATGGAATGAGTAATCTCCTGGGTGGCGCACTCACCAATTGTTTTTATTTAGTGCCACTTATTTGCTAACTTTTAATGAGAAAGACAACATTTATAGTCAGTCATTTATTATATTCAATACATATATTGCAAAAATAATATTAAATACTCTTCAAATTTTGTAATTTGTCTTGACAAATCACTCTACAAAATTTTATCCTATAAATAAAAACAGAGGAAGCACGCATGCAAATTACTAGCTGGGGAAGGAAGGGGGAAGAAAATGTTAGAAACCTCAAATGATTATGTTAGAATAGTAGTACTTGTAGAAAAAGATGAGATTAGGGGAAAAGCATGCGTGTTCTAACTTTTCTTTTTCTCTGTTTAATAACTTCTCTTGCCAAAAACGTTGGGGGGAAAAGGCACACAAGTACAATGGAGCACACATAGGTATTACATTATAAATTTAATCACTATTCTTCATGAAGTGCACTATAATACGATATAGTACAAGTATTATTAGTTTAAGAGGCTTAAGATTTCATACAATTTAAGCTTGAGAGTTTTAGAGTAGCAGTACTTGTACTACATTTTACTATAATATACTACTATTTTAATGTTTAACGACTCTCAAGTTGAAGATGTTGAAGGCTCCGAACCTGTAAGGATAGCAACACTTATACTATATTATATAACATTGCATATGATTTAAAGTAGAAATTAGGTTTAATGTACTACCTATACTTGAGTACTTCCATGATTAACGAATGACTTTCCAAAATTGTCCTATAAATTGAAATGGATGGAGTAAATGTATATTTCCTCATATCTTTATTGTAAGACATTTTTAATTGTTTTACACATATTAGTTTTCTTAATATCATAAAAAATGAAATATACTTTCATTTTTACTAGTTTTAAATCATAATATAACTACATTAAATTTTTCATGTTAATTAAGAATGAATAAAAATAAAAAATGATTTAATTATTACAAAATGTTCTATATTTTAGATTAAAAATTACTTCTAAAAAGTATTTTACATATAGGACCTTAGGGAATATATATATATATATATATATGTTAGTGGGAAAGGAAAGGAGGAAGATGTCACAACCTTGTATGATTATGTTAGAATGGCAGTACTTGTAAGTTTGAGAAAAATTGAATAATGAGAATAGGTAAAAAGCATGTGTATTCTTCTTTTTACTTTTTTTTCCATTCCCATTTACTAGTTTTTATACACAGGAAGTGAGGAAAAAGCACACAAGTACATCAGAGTGTACAAATACACGTAGTACAATTTAAATTTAAATTTAGGCACTATTCTAATAAGTTGAGAGTCCTAAACAACTCAAGCTTGAGAACGTTTTAGGATAGTACTATAATGTACTACTATTTTAATGTTCAACTCTCAAAATGAAGACGTTGAAAGCTCCAAGTTTATTAGAATAACAATACTTGTACTATATTATATTACATTGCATATGGTTTAAAATAGCGACTAGGTTATTAGGGTTGGAAGGAGATATCTGGAAAAGCCATGGAGGCTTTGATTCTATGAGTAGTTTGAAAGGGGACAAAAATCAAGGAAATCAGAAGAAAATTATCTAAAATAAATGGTATTCTTTTCTTTCTTACTTACATGCCTATATATAGTGAGTAAAAACAAAAGGGACATAAGTACATTGTAGATCTGTAATACTTGTAGTACATAAGTACGGGAAGTATAATGAATTAAAATGCCCTTCTAGGTAATTCACAATGCAGTACAACGTACTATATTGGTACAAAATAAACATTCATGCACGTACATGCTTAATTTTTGATTCCATTCATCCAAAAGGATAGAGTTCATAGATATCCATATATAATTGTTCACTTAAAGCTATCATAAATTTTGAAAAAAAAAAAATTATGTATTTTTGCACATTATATTTGTTTTTTCTTTCAATTTTCTTTAAATGGTCAAACATTAATAGATATTAATCAAATTTAATAGAATATGTATTGCACTCATTATAACAAGCTTATAGATTTTCTTGTACCTTTGTTTTCTTAAAGATATTGGATGCTTCTAAAAAAAGTTGCTAATTATTTTTACCCTTTAATCCTTATTTTAATAAGCTTAAAGCTTTGCTCATTCAACCTTAGAAGAGTTTTAGAATAGTAGTACTTGTGTTACATTACACTAGATGTTACAAATATTTTAATGTCCAACTTGCAAGTTAAAGATCTTAGAGGCTCCAAACTTATTAAAATAACAATACTTGGACTATATCATATTGCATTGCATATGGTTTAAAATAGGAATTATTAGGTTTATTGTACTACCTATACTTGCGTAATTCAACGATTTATAATATATCACTTTCCGAAATCGTCCCATAAATTGAAATGGATGGAATAAGCGTGTGCGTGTTATAACGTATCACTTTCCAAAATTGTCCCATAAATTGAAATGGATGGAATAAGCGCGCGCGTGTGTTAGAACCTTAAATGATGGAAGAATTTCCATTGACCATACTTATTTAAATTTAAAATCTCTAAATTTTTGAAATTATATTGTAACTTAGGAACACTGATTAGATATTAAATTTTAAGGAAAATAATAAAATTGCATATTATTTAAATTAATATCAAAACTTTCTTATTTCATTTGTTCTTTGTCTTATTTTACTTGTTAATTTACTTATGAAATGTTATTAATTACCCTACTTAACTTGTTTTCATTTTACATATTTAAATCATTTTAAAATAACTTGTTGATTATTATATTGTATGTTATTCATTTATTTAGGGATAGTTGTTTATTAGCTTACTTCACTTATTTATTATCCTACTTTATTTATTCATTATCAGACTTTCACTTAATTTCATTCCAAGAAAATGAATAAGTGTAATAGGGCAATTAATAATATTCTGAAAGTAAATGAATAAATGAAGTAGAGCAATTAACAACATGTCATAAGTAAATGAACAAATAAAATAGGGCACTTAACAAATGAAGTAGAGCAATTCTAATATTAATTTAAAAGAAGAAAAATTTTATCATTTTCTCTTAAAAATTTAATAACAAATCAATACTATTAGATTGCAGTGAAATTTCATAAATTTAAAAGCTTAAAATTTAAATAAGGTTAAGGGGTTTCTATTGAAATTCTCCCTTAAATGATTATGTTAGAACGGTAGTGCTTGTAAGTTTGTGAAACAATAATGAGACTGGAGAAAAACCATGTGTATTCTAATCTTTTTTTTTTAAGATTAATTTCCACTTAGTCCATATGCATAGGAAGTGGGGGGGGGGGAGCATACAAGTAGAGGTGTACAAATACGAGCAGTACAATATAAATTTAGTATCTATTCTTCACCATGTGCAGTACAATACAAGTACTACATTGTACCACTATATTGTACTACTTATTTTTATGTCCTTAACTCTCAAATTGAAAATGTTGAAGGCTCCAAAGTTACCAGAATAGCAATACTTGTACTATATTAAATTGCAGTGCATATGGTTTAAAATAGCAGCAAGGTTCATTGTACTACCTGCATTTGTATACTTCATTGCACTTGCATCTTTCTCTTTTTATTTTTTATTTTTAATTCAAATGAGGGATTAGGGTTCTACAAGTGAAGAGGGTTGGAAGGAGATAACCCAAAAATAAGGTTCGGAGAAATTATGGAGGCTTTGATTCTACGAGTATTTTGAAGAGGGGGAATAGAGGGAGGTGATTTGGGATGCCAACAATGGTGTGCAATGGAGTCGGCTTCATCAAGAGTACAAGATGCATTGGTGCCAGCCATTGCTTGACTACTTTGACTGGCAGAGGCATAGCCAGAGTTAATGAAGGAGAAGGAGAGCATTAAAAATGATAAACTTGTTTGGCAATCTGTTATGAGAATAGTTTGATAATGCAGTTTCAAAAAATATTTTAAAGAACAAAAAACTCAAACATTGTCTTAGATAATAGAAGAATGGAAAAATCTTTTAAGTATTATGGGATTATTGTTTTAAATAATAATGGACAATGGAAAAAAAATACTTATTTTTATTATTTTTTTGTTTTTATAACATGTTCTATAAAATATCAGTTCTTACAATAATAAAATAAAAATAGTTTCAAAGAAACTCCAATGGCTCTCATTTTAAATTTGAAAGAATGATACCACACTAGAGAATTGGAAGGGAAAGACTAATTAAGCATTGGCAGATGAAAGGAGAAAAATTACTATGGAATTCAAAAGATGAAACTAATTCCTATTTTAAAATCAATACCATGACAATTGTCTTCACAAATTGATTAGAAAAAAGTGAAAATAAAATTTAAAAACTGACCAACCAGGGATGATTCTAGTACCAGAATGGGGGGATAGAAGGACAGACATCCATGACCTTTTTATATATATATATAAAACCAATGAGGCATGAGAATAGATCTTAGAATAAACTTGTTTGACCAATGAGATTCCACCAATAACTACCCAATCATATGAGATTTAGTGCCTCTTTGGATATGTTTGTAATCGATTTTGTTCTCAAAAAAATTAATTATTTGGTTTATTAGCCAAACACTTAAAAAAGCAAAAAATTGATTTCAATCATTAAAATTAAATTTTTTTTCAAAAGCCAAGATTTTGAGCTTTTAAAAAAATGCTGATAAAAAATTATTGGAGAAATTACAAAAAAAAGGCCTAAAAAATTATAAGAAAGACACAAAATTGTTTTTTTAAAAAATCAAACTCTCTTCTCTTCTTTTTTTTTCCTTAGTAAAGTTGATTCTGAATAAACTATTCAGATATCTTTAATTTTGTTAAAAATAATTTTAAAAAAATAATATCCAAACAGATTGTGTTATAACATAATTAATTATGATTAAAATCTACTACTTAATCAATTATTTTTATAATTTATTATATCTAACTGAAATCGAAACGGATACTTATTACTTTTGTATATATATGTTGATTTAAATACTATTCTAGACAATTTACAATGTAGTGCGATGTACTATCCTAGTACAAAACATATTTGTGTATGCATATAATATCTCAAATTTTAATTCATAGATTAAATGAGTTAATCAACATTAATTAGATAAAAATGAATATTAATTAAT